TACTGAATAGGGCTGATATGGATGGCGTCGAGGTCAAACCTGCTCAGCTATGGCACGCACAGCACACTGAGGCCAGATACGAGAGCGCCAAGGAGGTAAGGGACATTCGAAACGCAAGCGGCGACATCGAGCCGCAAATTGAGTGGGATGGACTACTTCACACCGTCAACTTGACCCAGGAGCCGTTGCAACACGTTGCAGAGGACCTAACTGCAATGCTACAGGATTTCTTGCACACCCCGAACATGCCGGATCTGAAGAAGCTTGCCCTTCGTATTTGCTCCATGAAATGAACTGGAATTAACGTGCTCGTTCATGGGTCTCTGTAACGCCCTGCTCAGCGCAGATCGGTAGGAGCTATATCTCGGGGCTTTTGAGACACATCAGTCTGTGAGCGAGCGCGAGCGCAGTTGGTCGCGGTAGGGGGCAGACCCGTGGTGCCCAAGTGAGAGGATTGACCACGAAAGCAGCGGATGCTGTAATGGAATGAAGGTGGCCTCGAGGGGAGCGCGATTCCGTGGTGGTCTCTCGCTTAGCAAAGGAAACAGCCCAATAGCGCTGTTCCAAGTACCTAGGTTTTCACAGATTGTACCTTTTATTTGCCACTCTTTGGCTCGGCCGAGGGCTACACGCGGAGCTATGACGTGCGAGGCCAAAAGGGCGAGGTGCACGAGCTGGCGTGCCTGGCTCTGAAGGGTGCCAGAGGCTCCGTTACCGGGCCGGAGCGGAGAAGGATAAAAGACCAAGAGAGCAGGAGGATGGGAATAAAAAAGGCAGCGCACTCAGAGGAGACCTCTGCGGTGTGACTATGCCGTGGGTGCGAGTCTTCGGCAGGTCCTTTGTTTCCCTTTCCCTTCGCGCCGCCCCAGGGACTTGCCCGCGGGTCGTTACAGTTGCAAGGGATTTGAGAATGAGCATAACGGCGTCACAGTGGAGCCATTACTTGGCAGACATGGATTCTACACGATAAATAAGACGCACCCTCTTGCTCGGAGGGGGCCGCATTGTTTCCACACAAAGCAATGCTAACCATGTCCAACAGACCCGCCGCAAGATCATAAGCACGCATCTGCGATGATGATACCGTGCCCGTTCCCAAAACGGGTATCATATTGTACCAGTGCATTTGCACATGGGTAATCCCGAAGATGTACTTGAACTGCCCTGGTCAAGTTGCGTCAGAGAACTACCGTCGTCGTCGTGGAATGTATTATCTTTTCCTTCGCTT